AAGTTTAATTAATATATATCGCGTTTTAAACTGTTGAAGTGTTTTATTTAAATAGCGTACCTATTCAAAAATGGAACGAAGATCTCTGTAATACAGAGCTTAATGCACAGACGTCTATAGTCTATACAATAGTTACGCAATAGAAGAGTGCTTGAAACTGTGCCTTTTATTGTCCCTGTAATGTACATTTGTGATTAAAATGGGACCAAAGCTATTTTTGCAATCTAGATTTAACGTTTTACAACAATGCTGACCCACTTTCATATGTATTCGTGTTTCACATGCATTCATTATGTAGAAAGCGATCGATCAGCTTCGCAAAGTTTCGAACCCTTTGTGTTGAAGAATGCACAAACAATCCATGGTAGGGTAGATTTGTTGGTTGGTTTCTTTTAACCTCCTTCACAAGAGGGCCTCTCCTGTAATTTTTTAAAAAGTTTAATCTACGCTACCCGCGTTAAAAGTAAACAAAGCTTATTTTCAAAAGCACAATATAGTTTTCGTTTCATAATGTTTTGTAGCTTCGTGTCTATTACAACATTTGTCTAATTTCGTCTCGGTGACAAAAAATACCTATAGACACTTTATGTATGTTATATAAAAAGTGTCTATAGATATTTTTTGTCACTAATATATAAAGCTGAAGAGTTTGTTTGTTAGCACGTTCAAGCTAATCTCAGGAACAACAGGCTCGAATTTAATAATTCTTTTTGTGTTGGTTATTAGGCTATAAAAGATCGCGCTGCGGCTAAGGAGCAAAGAAGCAGCGGGAAATGTGGAAAAACGAGGGAAATGATTCAACTTACTGGCATTCCGATGCGTACGCTGTAAAAACTGTTCAAAATACCCAAAAATTATGTATGAAAGAATGATTTATCTTTAATTGATCTAAAAAATGTCCGTGACACTGTCTTTTAAGAATAACTTGAAAAAAAAAAACAACGCGATCGACGTCATGGATGGAGGAACAGCTTATAAAGGTGACGAGGAGATTTTGCAAAAACAAATATGACGTCCAATATAACTAGTTATTGAATAAAATCAATTATTAACAATTTCTTCGCTTCTGGCACTCATTTGTAAAACGCATCCCCTTATGTGCATTGTGACAAGACGTTACCTACTACTAAAATTCTAATTCGAAATTAAAAGTAAGTTGTCATGGATATTTCCATTTCATTAAACCATATATCCTCTTAAAAAAAAACACTCAGTTTTTACTGAAAGCAAAGCTCCATCCATTGAATACAAAACATTACAAAGCGAACGATGCGACATCGATCGATACATTCGATTAATTCTATTAGCGATTATCAGAAAGCCTGGACGGGTTTTAGGTTACACATAGCATGGTAATTATTACTAGTGACGATTTTAGTAGTGAACTAGCTGTGCCGACTTCGTCCACGTGTTTTTGCAAATCTCCTTTTCATCATTGTAAATTTAAGTTATTAATACCCACTATGTCGTACGCATCCATTCGTTCTTGCCAGTTAATCTTAAAAGGCATATAGTGTCGCGGACTCTTTTTTAGATGATTTAAAGAGGAATCATTCTTTTCTACATATTTTTTTGGGAATCTTGAACCGTTTTCGCAGCGTACGCCTCGGAAACCCACAGATGAATAATTTCCCCGTTTTCTCCACATTTCTCTCTGCTTCTTCGCTCCTATTGGTTGCTGGTGTTTTATAGCCTAAAGCCTTCCTTAATAAATGGTCTATCTAACACAAAAAAAAATTCTATTCGAACCAATAGTTCCTGAGATTAGCGCAAACAAACAAACTCTTCAGCTGTGCAATATTAGTATAGATTTGCCAAGTTTCCTCATAGACATGAGCTATCTAAATTAAAAATATATTTAAATTAAAAAATTACATCTTGGGCGGGACTTGAACCGGCATGCACAGCTGCTCTAACCAATTGAGTGACACGGTCACTCAAAGAAAAAAAATGTTTAATTAATATAACTTCATTATGTACAACATTTGAAAAAAAAAACTTGTCATCAGTCACCAGATATATGAATTAAGTTAAGTTAATTGTCGACAATTCTATTTATATATTGTTTTGTAATGGTTCTCTTAAACCAAACAAACGCTACAGCTTTATACATTTAAAACCGTATGTATATGTATATAAACGTAGACAGACTGACTTATCCAAGTACAGCCCGAACCTCTGAACAGTTTGAACGGGACACAAAGGTTTTGTGTCTTTTGTATTCGAGTAGAAAGCAACCGTTAAATTAAGTAAAATTACCTTTCTTTAATGATAGACAGACAAGCAAGGAGTTTACTTGAAGGTAGGCGAAAGACCCCAGCCTCGCGATGTCGACTTATATTATTTGCTTTGGATATTCGGAATTCGTAATTGTGATTGGCTGTAGTGTAGTGGGTTTTAAATAAAACGAGTGCAAACATATGAAATTCGGAGTTCGAAATAATTCTTTTACTTAGAACTCACTCATTTCTTCCATTGTATCCTAAATAAAGGTTGGTATATATTGTGTATATTTAAATATTGTCCGTGGTAGATAATTTGTAAAGAAGGTACAGCCTTACATTTAGATTTCAAATGTATTTATTTATATTATTTTATTGGTATATAAATATGTAATCGTTAGTACTAGTACATTTTTAATGAGACAAAAATAACACCAATTACAAGGATTTACAATGAAGTAATCTTTAAGCTACCGAAGTAACAAAGTCGCTTTGTATCAAATATTATTTTAATAGTCGTGTCAGATTTAGCTAACATATTCCTTCGAAACGCCTCGACAAATTTTTATGAAATTTTATATGTATATTCAAAATTGGTTACTATCAATTTTTTTATATTTATCCACCCATAACATTGTTTTTTTTGGGCTTACTCTTTCTTACCCAACAAACAGGACAGGTCTTACCAGATGCTTACAGACTAAAAATTTGATAGAAATAATTATTTTATTTCATTTGACAAAACAACGTTTGCGGGTCAACTAGCGGGAAAACGTATCCAACTATGCCATCAAGTAAATATAACCCGGATTCAATAATGAAATATGAAAGACGAAAGAAAATTTTCCAATAAAAATTCTAATATTGTCTCGCGTAATTAAAAAGGAGCGAAGGAATGTTATGAAATACCGAGATATCCGATTACCACTTTGAAATACAGCGGAACGAGAAAACTATCGATAATATCTTATTCCCGACAGCGAATGAAGCCGCGGGCAACAGCTAGTTTGTAAGTTTACCTTTTCCCTTTCACTAACTATGTTTACGATACTGTGCAAAGTTGAATTGGTGGAAAATTGCTTTCATATTATTTTCCATTTGTTAGCCAAGCAAATGCATTCATCTCTCGTTTGATTTGCTACGCGAATATAATTCTATATACCTTACCCTTACGGTTTATTTTTATTTGAATGTAAGTAATGTTTGTTCAAATACATATCTTATGATACAGATCGCTTAACATAGAATTAATGATACTAATTGAGGGTTATGTATTTTTATTTGGTTAATAAAATTCTGGTGAGAAAGAAAAACATTCCAATGTTTTTCAAACGTATTACTGTGTTATTTACTGCAGACGTTAAAGGGTTTGGATTCTGGATGAGATAAAATGTTACTATAGTTTTTAGTATTTTTCTATAAACATTTTAGTAGTTCAGGAGTCAATGCCTCTGAACGCATGTTTAGCAGTCTGTCCCAGTTGTTGTCATTAGTTAAGTAGCGTTCGTTAAAAACTCACTTGACCATTGTAGTCCTAAATCCTCTCCAAAAGAGAAAAACTACTTACCAACTAATTACCAGCTGTGCGACAAGTTGAAACAAATTATGCACCAAATCATTACTTCTTTCTTCTCCTACTTACTTCGTCTGCGTTCTTCTTCTTCATCTTCGTTATTCTTCTTTGTCTTCCCCTAACCGTATTGTAACCTGTAGAACTAAATAGAATATTTAACTCTGCTGCTATCATATTTTAATATTTGAACCTAACCGCCTTAGAAACGTCAAATATCTCGCTAGACGTCTACACACAATCGAAGCCTGATGAGGCCGTTAAGTTAAGTAAGACCAACTATTTCGCTGAATAGATCCTATATGTACTTAATGTTATTTAACCTCGATCCATTCCCTGCAGTTATTCGATTTATATAATTGTTTAATGCGGCTATATGCTTGGATTACGAAAAAAACACAACTACCCTCCAGTTCCAAATCGGAGGGGATTAGTACATTCTCTTTAAATAGAGGACCACTGTGACCACTGTTGAGCATGGGGTTGACTTCATGGAAGGTGAACAACCCACCCACATAGCTGTAGATAGCTTGGATATTCAGAAATCCACAGACACAAACCAAAACGCGATTAAACTGACGGCTTTTCATCTGTAAACGGTGTTGTACCCGATGGGGATCGAACCCAAGACCCGGCGTTTAGGAGCATACATTGCTGTTTGACCATTGTTACCATTTGACCAATTAGCCCGTTAGAATTATTGATTTTTTTGACGATTTTAGATGCGATATAATTAATTTACTTTTATTTACGATTTTAGTCCCTTCGTTTCTGACGTCTTTAATTTCATTCGTGCTCCAAAAAAGCCAGTTAAAAAAAATTTGAAGACTAATAAATACTAAAATCTAGCAGTTAATGTTATTCAAAGAGGTTTTTATTGAGTTATTTCTAACAATTTTTATGACCTCCACGTGATATAGTCATAAGAAGATTTTATTAAAGACTGTCTGTCTTACGCGAGTAAGACACATTTAAATTTATTACTTTAACGGTTTAAAACGCGACAAATTAGTTCAAATTATTTTAACTACGGCCCGACGTTTCGAATGCTTTGCAGCAGTTGTGGTCAAAGGGAGACTGCTAATTAACATATTGGACAAGATAATTTTCAAATATGTTTAACTAATATACATCGCGTTTTAAACCGTTCAAGTGTTTTATTTAAAATAATTTATTTGGTCCTTATGCTATCGTTTTCTTGTCAACAGACTTAAGTTTCGAGTCGTTCTTCAATCACGAAGATATGCAGGACATCCTTGACAATTTCTGCGTCTACCATATCAATGCTCCAGGTCAAGAGGATGGTGCAGCAGCGTTGCCGGAAAAGTGAGTACAATTTTATTACTTAATCGACTCAGATTTGTCGATAGACACTGCTATTAACGAATTATATCTACACTCGTATATGATGCTAGCTGTGTCAGCGACTTCGTGCGCGAGGAATAGTTATTTTGTTACCCACGACGTCGGTCGCATCCCGTCGTTCTTGCTAGTTACTCTTAAAAGATAAACATTTAGTGTCGCGGGAATTATTTTAGATAACTTAAAGTGGAATTATTCTTTCATTCATATTTTTTATATTGGAAACACACAGAGATGAATTTTTCCAGTTGTTTTTTCACATTTCTCGCTGTTTCTTCGCTCCTAGTTACATAACTATCTATATATATGTATATTAGTCTTGATACACAAATATCCCAACTGCTGAAATACCAGATGCAATCGACCGCGTATACTATATATACCATTTTAAGATATATATTTTAATTTTAATTATAATACAATATATCGATACCAAATAGATTTTCAAGGTTCGATTTAAAAATAGAGTACTTTCAAATAAAATGTTGTCAAAATACTGTAAAAAAAAACAGTATGATGAACTAAAAAATGTATGACCAACTTCTTTACTTAAATATTTTAAGTAGTATATAGATACTGAATCGAACATACAAATATTGTCCGTAGTTTTCGCGATTAGTTAAAATGTATATAAAACACTTTTAACGGTTTAAAACGCGAATCATATTAGTTAGCGTATTACAACTACGTTTCGCCAGTGACGTAGTTGAAATAAATATATATTTCGCGTTTTAAACAGTTAGAAGTGTTGTTTTACAAACATATTCCCTTCACCCTCCACCCTTCAGTGTTCTATACGTTAGCGTAGCCTGAATAGATGTGCAGTTGAAAATTGAAAGACGTCAGGAAAAATTGAATATCAAAATTGCTTTACTACGTTAAAATTTTTTGATAACACCAGTACAAGCGAATATTATAGGCTCATATAAAACGCCGAGAACAAATATATGACGTGGGGGACGTCGCTTCGTATATGAATTTTTAATTTTTCTTTCTCTTGTTTTTCACGGTGCCACTTTACAATTCTTTTGTTGACGTTGAATCTTTCAGCGTTGATGAAAACTACATGCATGAAAGACTTGACGTTTTCTGTTATAATTGTAAACTAAACAGGGCAATTTGTTTGCTAATTAGACTAATGTAAGGGTTGTGTCCCTTGACCCATAAATCCAAATGTGTGTTGACAGCGACATTGCTAATAACTATACTAATATATAAAGCGGAAGAGTTTGTTTGTTTGAACGCGCTATTCTCAGGAACTACTCGTTCGAACTGAAAAATTATTTACGTGTTCGTTAGAGCATTTATCATGGAAGATTATAGGTCCGTGAGTAATATCGTAAGTTTATAAAGATAAAGTGGAAATTCGCAAAAACTAATTTAGCCAAAATAATTATTCTTCACAACGAAGTCGCTGACGCAGCTAGTTAAATATTCTGTGCTCGAATTTTTGAATAGACAGTTCCGGGTTTGGATTCTGTGATAATAGAAATAAGAAAAAATCTGCTAATGGGCCATTCATTTATTATGTAAGAGGATTTAGGGGGAGGGGGGTTGGTTATATCCTATTTTTTCTTAGAAGGGGGTGGGAGGCAGTCTTGATGCCTACAGGGCGCCGTCAGACTACAGGGCGACTTTGTCTGCGTCCCGTATTGCAAATCAATCTTTAAAAAAAACGTATACCGTTGCGAATATTTTTTAGATCGTTTTTGCAGCGCACGCAACGACCTCAAAGATGAATAAAACGCTCCGTTTTTCCGCATATACCTCTATTTTTTACTCCTATTGATCACTGTCTGATGTTTTATAGCTTGCGTTAAATACTCCAACCCGAAACAAAGAGATTTTTTTTATTTCGAACCAATAGTTGCTAAGATTAGCGCGTTCAAACTCTCCAGCTTTATAATATTGCTATATGTTATATCTGTTCTTAATCCGAACATTATTATAACGACATGTTTTCTCTCGAGGCTCATGGGCGAATGAAAATGATTTAATTACTCCGAGTGCTAATGTATATCATCTGAATCATACAGCCATGCCTGTTGAGACTTTTTAATTTTATGTTTCGTTACATTTCTTGCTCCGCTTTTCGCCCATGAATCCAAATTCGTTACTTGTGGCAAGTTGCTAACATTTTGCGATGCTTCAGTCGCATCTAACATTTGATAAGATTTTTATTTTTTCAGACGGACATTATAAATTATGAATATAGGTCGACATTTGTTTTCGCATTTTGTTTAGATGTTATATGGCTGGTGTATTACACTTTCAAGTGACCAAATGCTTGTCTGTTCTCATCTATCACAAACAATGCCGTCTAGACAATAGAAAAAGATATTTATTCATTATTATTATTAATTTTAAAAGTTATTTAATTTTATAAGTATTTACTTACCTTCGAAGGCTTGTTAGCAAATGTAGTAAAGATTATAGAGGATCATGAAAAAAACTTTTCATATTTAAATAAATCACTTTAACGGTTTAAAACGCGATATATATTAGTTAAACTTATTTCAAAATGATTTTAACGACGGCTCAACGTTTCGTATGCTAAAGTGGTTTATTTAAATGTGTACTACTCGCGTAAACTATAGACGGTATTCTATTTATATTTATTAAGAATAGATTGAACCGGCATCCTCAGCGTTCCGTGCTGTTGCTGCATCCAATTGAGCTATCGCGTCTTACGCGTCATCGTCGAATTTTTCAGCCTATTGATACATGCACAAAAAGAATTGGTCCCAAAATGGAGGTACTTCTCAGGGTGGATGTTGTGTATGTTGCTTTCAAATTCGTGACTTGATGAAGCCGAAAATTTTTCTATGTGCACTCCACGACTTGTTCTGCCGACGGAAATTCGATATTCCTCCGAGTCGAAAAATAGCTGTCGCATTCCTGCCGCTCTTTAATTTGGAAAAACATTTTAAAGTTTCCACATTTTTCATCCGCTCGTGCAGGGCTGATGTAAATGTTCCTCATGTTTTTATCTATAGCAGAATGTAGGGTGCATTACATTCTATAACAACAAGCCAAAGGTTGATAATAGAACTTGATGCAATTTTTTTTTTGTATTTTTTTTTATGAGCATGGCAAGGCACCAGGCTCCCTTGATGGTAAGTGATATACCCCAGTTTATAGCATCCATTCGTAGCAGGCTGGGTTGTCGACCTATTTGGCTTTGGATATTCGGATATCCGTACACAGCTTATTCATATCCAGGTTTCCAGATGATGAAAATTGGAAACATGGCATACATAAGTGATTAGACCAACGGGCCCTTTGTTATATTTAAGTTTATAAAAAAGCGTTTACCGAGACCTTGTCTAAAGGGAATCTCTAATTGACTTGATATACTTATGAACGTCACAAAATAATTAAAGAATCTAATTTTACATTTACTACCAGTTCTCAAATCTAACTTGCCGTCTATGTTGTAAGTGCTACTTTGCCGTAACACTCTCTCACCTCAGATCACCCTTGCTCTAACTCCCACTCTCATTTCTACACTCACTCCCAATCCCACTGCCACTCCTATTCCCAAAAAGCCAAAGAAGAAAGTTTCATTGTTCTATCTTCAAAAACCACGAATTTCCATACAAACTTTCACCCCCCGTTTAACCTCTTTTTCGCATTAAAAAGCCTAAAATAATGTCCTTTCTCAGGGTCTGGACCATCTGTGTACCAAATTTCATTCAAATCCGCTCAGTAGTTTTGGCGTGAAAGAGTAACAGACAGACAGACGGACAGAGTTACTTTCGCATTTATAATATAAGTATAGATTTATATTCTCAATATTGTGTTTCCTAAGTTAATATTTTTGTTTTTTTATGATTAGGAGAGACAGATGTTCACTTGATGGTAAGGGAAATACTAAAGCCATATAAAATCTTGGAAAATGTGCTCTCGACCTATTTCGGTTTTAGATATTAGTTACGGGAAATACAAAACAGAATTATGAATAATCTTAAGTACAATGTAATATAAATGAGGTAAACAAAAAGGGACGAATAGAATTATTTTATTAGCTTAATTCGATTTAAAGTAACCTCTTATCGCTCTGACTCGGTTAATATTCTAAGAGCGATTGGAGGGGGGTTATGTTCAAACAAAACGCTGATTTGAGCTTTTATCCCGCGTAACTTTTTATGTAATTAAGAATATATAGAACTGTAATCTGTATAGGTTGTGACAAGTTGATACAAATAGTCACTAAAAGCCCTTTCAGTCCGCAACGAGCTCTTGAAAAAAACGCGATATATATTAGTTAAACTTATTTGAAATGTAAAAACTGCTACGCTACTCTGACGTCAGAGACACCCATCGTTTGTCTCCGTGGCCACGGCCGCTGCAAATTAAATAAGTTTAACTAAAATATATCGCGTTTTAAACCATTTAAGTGTTTTATTTAAATGTTGTGTTTATGTTTACTCGCGTAAACTAACAGTATGAAATCTGGGTTTTAAATAGGACCTAGGGAATTCAAAATTCCGTCCATAAATGAAAGCCGTGGAGTTAATCGCGTTGCGATTGCAGTCTGTGGATTTCTTAACACAAAATCCAAAATAGGTTGGCGTATCTTGTTGTGATGTTATAAGGCTGGCATTATGAACCCATGTATGTCTGTTCTCTATAAGCTCTACTACTCTTAATAACAACTAGTTTGATCATTTTGGGAATGGTAGATGTAATTTTGACATAAAGAAAATCAAACTTTGTATACCATTCCTTCAAACAAAGGAAAACTTAGCACAAGCTCTCTCGCAGAGAAAAGCCAGTTAAGAACATTATTTGTAACAAGCTGCGCCCGCGACTTCGTCCGCGTTGCATTGTTATTTTGGATGTCTAAATTTGGTTTTTGCTAAACTCGTAATCTTTTTAAATTATTTACCCATGACATCGTTCACGTCCAGTCGTTCCTGCAATTTAACATTTAAAGATGGACATATATTGTCCCTGACATT